TCTTTCTTGGAATTCCAATTCCATTAAACAGTAATGCGTGTTTATTTGCCAGCAAACTCACCGCTAGGTTGATAAAATAAATGTATATTCGTTTTTTAATACTTCAAAAAAAAATGTTATTTGACAGAATGTTCAAGGACTACTGGGATTTAAGACATGTATGTATGTACATAGGCAAAGTAAATATTATACTTGGTTTTTTTTTATACATTTCTTCAGTTAGGTAACAAAATCCTGCCATTGTAAGAAATCATGGCGTTCTACACTGCCTACACTGAGAAAATCGCCTATGACTCAAAAATTGAAATCCCATAGAGCATAACTATAAAACTTGGCATCAAAAAAATTGTTTATTCACAAAAATTTTGGAACATTTCTTCTAATATTGCACTGGATCTACATGTTGTCACATCTAACTATCATCGGCGGAGCGAACTGGTGGTGGCGCACACCGAAGGAGTAGCCTGGTCCACTCTTGCCAGGACGATAGTACATGAGGTCGTAGTAGTTGGGTCCGGGACCGACATTCTCGCCCGGAATAGTAGTGCGCGGCTGCATTGAGTATATCGGGGCACGGGTCAGTTTGACATTGATATCACCACCACCATATGCAGCCGGACCCGGGGAATTCGTCTTGTTCAGAATCTTAGTTTGCAGTCCCCTGGGATACAAATAAATATGAGCAACTTGGCAAGGAAATAACTATGGTATGATTGGTATGGTACTCACATGCTATAGCTCGGGACTCCCGGACGAACAGCATTCACCTCGTACTTGTAGGCGTTGGGACCAGGACCATCCTTCTTGAAGTTAAAGTCCGTTCGCAGACCCATCGAGTAGGATGGAGCATTCACCCCCTTAAAGAATGGCCTATTGTGGACATCGTGGGCACCAGGACCGGGACTGCTACGCTTGTCTACGATGAAGCAGTTTAACCAAGAACTACCATGTCTCTAGCACTAGTGAAGTACTCACCGATGACGTTGGTCCTGGGTGCCATGGAGAACTCCAAGCCCTTGCTCGTGCCATAGCGCGTCAGCTTGTCCACTTTGTAGGCCCCGGGACCAGGACCCAGATCCTCACCAGGAGCACGGGTGCGCATGCCAAAGGAGTACTGTGGCATCCGCTGCTTGCGGTTATCGTGCTTATCATAGCCCACAGTGGGGGGCAGCATGTAGACGCCGGGTCCGGGGCCTTCGAGGAGCATGGAAGAATTCTCCCATTTATTCTCCCATTTTATAATTCAATGAATTTTTACTCACCAAAAGGTCGCACCGCCATTTTTTGTTAGTTTTGTGCAATATTAGAAAAATAAACTATTTTTTAAATTTTGAACCCCCAATATGAGGTGTTTGCCGAACGGATTCCAGTAGGAGAATGAGGCCTTCATAGAGCTCCACCTCTCAGCTCCAGGCGAAGTCAGATCCATGGCACACTTGTTATTGAAAAGGTTTGGCACCAAAATTCCCAAACCCATTGAAATAATAATTGCATAATACTTTTTAATCGGAAAATTTGATCATAAGAACCTAAGTTACTTCAAGACATGGTAAAGAGATTTTAGTTATAGGAGATTCGAGTTTGATCGGAAATTAAGTGGTTTACAAAAATCAGCTCCAAATATATTGCTTTATTGAGCCAAAGAAACGCCTAATTTGGACACTCAAGATTGCTTGAGATTTTGCTGGACAACTGGGCAGTACAGCTTATTCCACATCCATGGAGTTGTAAAGTTGCTTATACCTAGATCCCCGCCCGCTGCTTTGGAGCAGCATATCGTTATGCCGCTCCCTCAGCGCCTGTGGAACAAAAGCATATAAATAGTTAATAGTTTCAATGGAAAATATGAAAATTCGTGTACCTTTGGATCGTATTTCTGATGCAAGTAGACCAGAACTGGGCCGTAAATCATATTGAAAATGCCGACAATGCGCATCAGCCAGGCAAAGCCAAATGTTTGGGCCAACTCACCGCCAATCAGGGGAGCTATAAGATGATATTTATATACACTTTTGTTTGGAAACGGCCATTATGGACTCACCTAAGCAGTAGGCCAGGCTGACAGAGGTCTGCTGGATGGCATAGACTGTTCCGTAGCTGGACATGGAACTGCTGCCCTCACCCTGTTCCTCCTGCGAAAGTGTGGCGTCCACAAAGGTGGCCAAGAGTGGAACCAGTGCCGCATCGATTACACCAATGCCCAGGCCCAAGGCGAAATGGGGCATCAATAGCTGGGCAACCGTCGTGGCACTGGGTATCTGTAAAATTCAGAGTTATAATTGGTGCATACTCCCATTTATATTTTATAAATAGTGGCTCTCACCAAAATAGAGGCTACGCCCACCAGCAACAAACTGACACAGGACACCTTAACCTGGCCATATTTGTAGGCAACGCTGCCGAAGAAGTTCGTGCCCACAAAGTAGCCCACAGAGTCGGGAATGAACACGGTGCCCAGCTGCCACTTGTTGGGCTTTAGATACTGGATTAGCCAGATGGGCAGACAGGGCTCCAGCATGGCCATTGTGGAGGTGGAAAACCAAATGGCCAGTACAATGGCCAGGATCATTTTGCATTCGAGCAGCGTTCGCCACTTGGGACTATCCTCCACCACAACCTCCGGCTGCACAGTCAGATCCATGGTCAGGAGCTGGAGCCCCAAGCTCAGGAACATCAACGTGGAAAGAATGATGAACGGCGCCGATTTGCCCATTAGATCATACAGGATACCGCCAAAGGGATAGCCCAGCAGGACACCCAGCGCGATGCTACCCAGGATGATGCCCATCACCTTGGAGCGACGTGCCTCCTCCGGATAATGCTGCGCCACCAGGCTCATGCCGCAGATGTTGATGCAAGCGGATCCCACGCCCTGCACCGCCCGGGCCATCAGGAGTGCCCAGTAGGATTCGCCAACCGTGAAAACTGAAAGGTAGTAAGACAAAGATAGGTAGTTGGATTTCCAATGGTATTTGATAAATAAAATGAAATTGGAATAAGCCATTTTAATGAAGAAGTATTCATTTTTCCGCCTGATGAGGTGCCAATTGAAAAAGCAATCAATGCACCCAAAAATAGACCACTTACCCAGCGAGGAGAGGAGCAGGAAGAAGGTGCCGATGACAATGGGAAGGCGGTAACCAAACTTGCTGGACGCATTGCCGACAATCGGATTGAAAATTAATTGGACCAGGGCCTTCATGGCCAGCAGCAGGCCGATGGAGCCGTTCTCCTGTTTCAAGGTCAGCTCCTTGTTGTTGTTGTTGTTGCTGCTGGCGCTGCTCTCGTGAGTGGGCGGATTGCCGGGGGCCAGCTTCCTGTTCCTGCTCTTGTGCCCATTCCCATGCCCATGCCCATGCCCAATTCCAATTCCAGTGACATTAGTGCCGCCCGACTGGCCATCCGTCAGCTTTGAAGGCGATTGCATGGACGTGGAATTGTGCGTAGATGTGGTCGTGGTGGTGGTGGTGCTGCTGCTGGTGGTTGTGCCTTCCGTGGACAGCTGGAACAGGGTGAAGTTAACCATTGATTTGCCCGGTATCGGATGCTTGGAGATGTACAGATGCGGATGTGCGCCGCCGGGCGATTCTCCAGTCCGATGGCCGAGTTTTGAGATTGAAGATGTATCCTCCAGACTGAGCACCACTGCCGACGACGTATCCGCCTCCAGGCTGGCCAGATAATCCGGCAGGATGGGCACTGCAAGTGGGGAGGGAACGAAAAGGATCGTTTATTAACGTGCTTATCTGTAATTGATTTGGCCATTACCAATTACGGTCAGCAGCATGTTATCTAGCAGCAGGGCCAGGTACACAATCACGGCAATCAGGCAGCGATTGGAGGAGCCATTGGCTCCGGATGGTGTGGAGCTGCGTCTGCCGGAGGCATTCAGTTGCACAGCCGCCTGATTCTGCGACTCCGACCGGGAGTGTGGGTGTGTTTGAGCGCGTTTCGTTTTCTCCGACATGGCTAATTGGACGGCACACAGATAGCGCCAAATTAGGCTGCCATATGGCTCGCGATTCGCGCCACAAAGTATGCGCCCGAGTGTATCTACCCGGAGTGCGGCAACAACAGGTGGTGGTGCTGCCACAACGACGTATGTGCGAATATTGAGAGGCGGCGACAAGTTGCCGTTCCATTTTATTGACACCAGACGAACCGAGCCGAGTGAGCAGCCCGAACAGCCAGTTGGCCAAGTGGCCCGAAGGCAGCCCAACAGCCCAACAGCCCATCAGCCAGATGGATCCCACTCCAGGCCGTTCCATGCTGTTTGTGTTCAACATGGCTACATGGTGACCTCCAGGAGGGTATGTGGCTTTTTAAAAACATTTACACCAAATTAAAGCCCCCAGTTCGATGGTATAGATTTTAGATTTAGATTTAGCGCGGTTTAATAACTTAAATTCCTTATTTAAAACAAGAAAGTGCATTCAGGGGTTGCACTAGCAGAACCTTTGTATTGAACTGGTAATAGTTTTTGTTAGCACCAAACCCAGCCACACACACATGGCCTTAAAGCCTTAGCCATAACATGGGCTTCTCTATTATTATCGAAAGGTTGGTGAGATGGAGATTAAAGCTCCTGCTTAAAGAGCCGGCAAAACGAGTGCTTGCCTCGGCCCCGATAAGCAGGCTATGGACTTTTAGCCTTTAGTCACATTTTCCACTTCATTGCATCTCCTTTTTTCCGTTTAAATTTGGCCCCAACCAATTTGTGATGAATTTCTCGCTCTTTATGCTGAAAATTGATTTTGTAAAGGGGAGTGTGACAGCCCACCGATGATATTGACCTATTTACAGTCTATATATTTATGTGGCATGCAAAGAAATCTAATCCGTGACCAAATAGATAGCTTAACGAAATAATTGATAACACAGCACACCTGTCCTACAATTTAGCCATTTGCAGTCGCTAATCTATGCCCACTTGCGCCTAATACACCGATTAGGCAAATCGGGTAAATATTTCCACTTATTTGATTAGATAAACGAACAAGTCTTGACCACAGTCAGTTATATATATCCTATCCAAGCCACTTATATTTTAAACACATTCCTTAACCCACTAGCGACGACGATAAACAGTGTACTCTTCGGCCGCAGGACGTCCATATCGCGTTACCTTGCCCAGGTGATAGGCCGCTGGTCCTGGTCCTTCCAGTTTCCGGGGACTATTGCACGCCCTCGACGATCTGCCGAATGAGAACTGGGGACTTCGCTGCATCCGCTTGTCACAGTTCTTAAAGCCAAAGGTGCTGGGCAGATTGTAGGCTCCAGGTCCAGGTCCTAATGGATATGGAATGATAAAGAACAAAATTTGATGAAGCTCGAAGATTTCGCACCAAAAGATCTGTTACACGACATGTTCGATGGCTTTTTTAGGCAAGTATTTTGGAAATTTGTGAAAATTTTTGGAAATTTTGAAAATTTTGAAACTCTAGAAAGAGTTGTTTGCCGAACGGGATTCTACAAGGGAATGAACCAGACTTTCCGAACTCCCTTAAACTAAATGAAAAACTTAAAATCAAGGCCTAGCTGATGATGGTACTACATATACAAATCTCCGTCTATATATAACACAGATTACGGCCCTATTAGCCGGAATCATAATCTTTAAGACCAAATGGTCTTATCAGGCAACTACCCGCTCCTCGTCTTTAAGTGGGCCTCAAGTGGTGAGATTAACAGCCAACCTCCAGTTGTGTTTTCCAATTACCCAGGTGTCAGTCAGGTGGCAGAGATCGGAGTGAACGGTCTGTGGGAAACATGTTCGCCAGCAGAGGAGTCCTGGTGCTGGTAGTGCTTCTGGTATCGGCAATTGGTAAGTGGCCATAAACCCAACTCATAAACCGAAAGTCTAACTAAAATTGGACCTGCAGGTGGCCAATCGGAGTCGATTCCATGCAAGCTCAAGGATGAAAAGCATGGCAAAGTGTGCGTCTGCACGGCGGACTATTGTGACTATCTGGAGAACCCCGTCCTGACGGACGAAAATGAGTGGTTCCTGATCTCCAGCTCCAAGCAGGGACTGCGATTCTCCACAACCAGTGATAAATTCGGCAAGCAGGAGAAGATTACCGTGCAGGATTATGTGGAAGCCACCCAGGTGACCGCGAATGCAACTATCCTGTCTCGTCTGCTCGACCAGGTGGTGGCCAGTGCCTTTACCTTGGAGTCCCGGGAGAGTTCCATAACTCGCACGGTGACCCTGCGATTGGACCGAAGTAAGACCCACCAGAAGATGGTTGGCTTCGGTGGCAGCTACACCGGAGCTGTGGAGTATCTGGTGGACAACTTCAAGCGTTCGGAACTGGCCGACCATCTGTACAAGTCCTTTTACGCCGAGGACGGACTGGGCTTCAATCTCATGCGAGTTCCCATTGGCGGCTGTGACTTTGAACTGGAGGCCTGGTCATATGGCGAGGAGGACACCTCGCTGTCCGACATGGATGAACTGAATGCGCATGATGTGAAGCGAGTGGCGCAGATCAAGCGACTCATCGAGGTGTCCGGAGTGAAGAATCTGTTGGTCAAAGGAGCCGCCTGGAGTTCCCCGCCCTGGATGAAGACCAACAACCGCTGGACAGGATTTGGACGACTCAAGCGGGCTTACTACCAGACATGGGCCGATTACCACCTGCGTTGGCTGAGGCTTATGAAGAACAATGGCATTCCCATTTGGGCCATTTCCACGGGCAACGAGCCCTTGAACGGCATCATTTTCATGTACTTTGTTAAGTTCATGAGCTTGGGATGGACGCCACAGACCCAGGCCATTTGGCTGAACGATCATCTGGGTCCCACTATCCGTAACTCTGAATTCAAGGACATCATCCTGTTTGGCAACGACGATCAACGCTATTCCTTTCCCCATTGGTTCAAAATGGTAAGTACATGAAACTACAAAGTGCACATCACTTATCGCGAAACCTTCCAGATGAATCGCACTCGTCCAAACTCGATTGATTACCTGAATGGATTATCGGTGCACTGGTATTGGGATGAAATTTTTGGCAACAGCTTCATCGAACAGACCACGGAATACGCCCCCGACAAGTTACTGATTGTTTCCGAGTCCTGTATCGGGGATAAGCCCTGGCAGTCAGCTACTCCTCTGCTGGGAAGCTGGGAGCGGGCGGAGAAGTATGCCCGGGATTACCTGCTTAACATTAGGCTGGGCTTCCATGGCTGGATCGACTGGAACATTTGTCTGGACGAGATGGGCGGGCCCAACTACGTGGACAACACGGTGGATGCACCAGTGATTGTCAATACTACAAGTGGGATTCATTAGCACCACCATTTATTCTGCTTTGATTAATTATATGGTTTTCCTGCAGCATTCGAGCAGTTCTACAAGCAGCCCATGTTCTATGCCATTGGTCACTTCTCCAAGTTGGTTCCGGAGGGCTCAGTTCGTATAGATGCCGTACCAAGTAATATTAATCTGGACTCTGTTGCATTCCTGCGACCGGACAACAAAATCGCCGCCGTTCTCTTCAATAGTGGACGTGCCGATCTGGACATCACTTTGGTGGATAGTATTCGGGGTCAGTTCGTCGTCAATGTTCCGGCCAAGTCCATTCACACTTTGCTGTACAGTTGAAAGCATTTGAAATAAATAGCTTCTCAAGTTCTTTGAAATGCCCCCGTTTTTGTTTAATATTAGTAAGCCAATATCCGAAATGAGCTCTACCAAGTTCTCAGCACTACGTTACTGCTTTGAAAATTGCCATTTTCACACATTGGATGTGGTTCTCCAACCGAATCGAATCACTCCTAACTATCTGATCCATCAGTAGCATTTAACCAGTGGCCTGTATCTTTTCAAAATGATTCCAAACTCTACTCCGCTTCTCTTGTGCATCCTGAGCTTTTCCGCTGGACTCTCCGCGCTACTCTTCCATCCGGATGACAATGTGGAGCTGCTGGATGCTGCATCATTTGAATCCGCGCTTAGTGAACCAACGTCTGGCAAGCTGGTGCAGTTCTTTAACGGATTCTGCGAGGACAGCCAGAACTTTGTACCAGCATTTAGGAATCTTTCGCGCAAACTCTACAAGTGGCGACGAGTGCTGAAAGTCCATGTGCTAGATTGTGGAAAGGACGAAAACGAGCGGATTTGTAGCAGTTTCAGCATTCGCAAAACGCCCACACTACGTTATTTTCCACCGAGTTATAGGCGAGTGCCCGACGATCTGGGCACCGAGATCACTGACCGAAATCCCAAGGAAATAGAGTCGAAGCTGGCGCTAAGTCTTCAAAAATTGAACTACTTTAAAATGTTTAGGCGGCAGGACAATGTGACGCATATATTTCAAAGCCAGCAGCACGTGGAGTACATTGCATTCGTCTATCAAATGTGCCTGAGCCACTTTCTTCCACACCTGGAAACGGGCAACTCCATGGAGGAAAAGTATGCCTCTCAGGACGACTGCAATGCGGACAATCCAATAGTTTCGGTGATTGGAAGGAACACCCTTCTCGAGCTGCTGCCCTATAAGGAAGTCATTGTGCGGATCTTCGATAACCATGATATTTACAACACATTCGGCATATCGCCAGTGCCCAATTTGGTGGTTCTGGTAAACAGAGCTGGGAAACTGCTATTTCTCACACCCGAGATGGATAACAGCAGGGCTTATGTGGCTGCCATCAAGCAATTCTTGGTCTTCGTCGACCGTAAGCCCCAGAAACCGCTGCCCAAAACCACACCTGCCAACATAAGTGAAGTCTTAAGGCTCGAGATATTCCAGCAGCTCGCGCAACATCCATCTCGGGTCTATCGAGCCGATCTGGAACGGGCTATCAATCAAATCCTCAACGTGGAGCTCCCCAGAAGCCCGCACTTTGTGGGCACAAAACTAGTTGTTTTGCGGAATTTTGTGCGGCTGATACAGAACTCCAGTCCCTTGAAACCAGAGGCTCGGGAAAAGCTGACCGGACTGTATTATGCCCTGCGAGTGAAAAAGCAACTTTCTGGAGTTGGATTCAAGGACTTGCTGCTGAAGTCGATGAAAAACTACGTGTTTGATGGAAGGCAGTACGTTGGCTGCATTGCATCTCGTCCTTCCTTGCGCGGCTTCAGCTGCTCCCTGTGGATGCTGTTCCACTATCTCAGCGTGGAGTCGGAAAAGCTAAAGCCCAGATCCGTGCTGCTGGTATTTCTCGGATATGTCCGGTTCTTCATGAACTGCAGGGAGTGCAATATGAAGATAAGCGAGTTCAAAAAGCTGCGACCAATGGCACAAGTGACCAGTAACGACGAACAGATATTGTGGCTCTGGGAAGCCCACAATCATGTCAACAAGCAGCTGGCCGGCGACTCCACAGAGGATCCGAAGTTCCCAAAGATTCAGTTTCCAAGCGCAAAAGACTGCCCCCACTGCCGGCACAACCAGTCCGCGTGGCGCACCGATGAAGTGCTGAAGTATCTGAAGGCCATGTATACCCTGGGAAATCTTAGTTGGTTCGGAATGTCATCCGCAAAGTCGTACACCGCAATAAAGCGATAGTACGCTTACGATTTCCCTTCCAACTACAAACTTACGCAGTAATTGTTAAGACTAAAGCGAATTACATATATTTTAAAATGGCAAATAAATGCTTATATCTGGTTTTATAGCTCGTAGCCCCCCCTTGGGTTTGCATAACGTTGGCTTTCGATTGCGTGCGCGGATTTCCAAGTGGGATCGCCCCACTGGCGACGACTCGCCGGTCCGGCCGCTTTATCAGATTAACAGCTGAGCGGGGTCAAGTGGCATTCGAAAACATAAACATCAAATTGAGTGAAATTCGTTTATCAGCTCAGTTGTGGACGGGCCCTTGAGCTGATCGCATTGTCTGCGGTCCGAGTTGCCGATATGAAGACACCTTGGCTTGGCTTTCTTTTCGCACTGGTGGCCAGCTCGGCAGGTGAGCGGGAATACAATGAATGCATGTCATGAAACTCATTCATGAAACGCTTGCAGGTGCTACCGACTGGCAGCTACCCTGCGATTTGCGCGAAACGAGCCATGGCAGCGTGTGCGTCTGCAACAGCACCTACTGCGACTACCTGGAGCAGCCGCAGCTTGCTGATCCCTCGCAGATTGTGGTGATTAGCAGCAGCAAGGTGAGTCCAGGACCGTCTACAGTCGCGGTCACAACAATAGCTATTTGCCGAGCTCAGTTATGCGGATTAGCTTCAGAGCCGGCTTGGAATAGTTTGCTTATCTGCTGCGGCTTGTCATGCTCTAAAATTTATTGATTAGCGCAACGGATTTGAACTTGATTAGTTCTTAGTACTTATTAATTATATGCCAGTATTTTTGTTGTTCTTCAGGATGGCCTGCGCTTCAAGAAGACGACGGGGGATCTTTCGGAGAACAAGCCCATTACAATCGACGACAAACAGTTCACCGACGAGAACTTCAACGCAGATGCGATTCTGGTGGATCAGGAGAGAGCCTGGTTGCAGTTGGCCAACATTCCCCAGAGCCTGTGTAACTGAAACTGCAGCAGCGCTATAGAAACTAATGCTCAAGGAACTCCTATTTCAGTTATTAATGCCAGCATTAGGACATATCGCATATCGGTGAAACGGGAGCAGCGCTTTCAAAACGTCTCCATTTTTGGCGGCGCCTTCACGGGAACAGTCTCGTACTTGCTCAAGGAACTACCGGCAGCACTACAGGATCATGTCTATAAGTGCGCTGGATATAACGCTGAAAACATAAACTACTATGAGAGTATTACCTTGCAGATCCTACTTCCATCCGGTTGGAATTGCCTACAACACCATACGAATGTCCATTGGAGGCTCCGACTTTGACATGGAGCCCTGGGCGTATAATGAATGGCCTCGTCATGATCTGAAATTGAGCAACTTTAGCGAACTCGATCCGCGGGATCTGCAGAAAGTGGAGCAACTGAAACGCCTCAAGGCAATTGGCAAGGTGGATGAACTGAAGATAATGGGCGCCGCGTGGAGTGCTCCAACCTGGATGAAGAGCAACGAGCGCTGGACAGGATTCGGGCAGCTGAAATCGGAATATTACCAAACCTGGGCCCTGTACCACCTCAAGTGAGACCACTCTGGCCATTTCATTTCCCATTTATGAGGGACTGGCTCTTCTTGCAGATTTCTCGAACTCATGCGGGCTAAAAATATGCCGATTTGGGCCATATCCACTGGCAATGAGCCGTTAAACGGCGTCATTGGCTTCTTTTTTGTACACTTCATGAGCATGGGCTGGACGCCCTGGCAGCAGGTATGTATGAGCCATTTCGCATTGGTTGGATGGCCACTGGCCATCGATCACGTTTCTGGCTATTAAGCATGTCGGCATTTTCTCGACCAGGCTATCTGGCTGAACGACAATCTGGGCCCGACCATCAGGAACTCGACGGAGAGCAAGGTGCTCATCTTTGGCAACGACGATCAGCGCTACACCTACCCAATGTGGTTCCGAAAGGTATGCGGATAGCTCAAAAAGATATCAAATATATACACATATATATTCCTTAGATGCGCTCCTCCCGCAGCAATTCGCTGTCCTACTTGGATGGCCTAGCTGTCCACTGGTACTGGGATGAACTGATAGGTCCACAGCTGATTGACCAGGCGCACACGGATATGCCCAACAAGCTGCTGTTGAACACGGAGTCCTGCATTGGCGATAAGCCATGGCAGACCCATGGTCCCGAGCTGGGCAGCTGGCAGCGTGGTGAGAGCTACATGAGGGCTTATACCCAGGACCTAGCGCACAACTTCAATGGCTGGCTGGATTGGAATCTAGTGCTGGACGAACGGGGCGGCCCGAACTACGTGAACAACTTTGTGGACGCTCCGATCATTGTGAATGCCACGAGTCGGGCCGAGATATACAAACAGCCGATCTTCTATGCCATTGGCCACTTCTCCAAGTTCCTGCCGCCGGAATCCGTGCGCATCGAGACGCGAATCGAGAAGCAGGGCAATCCCTTCACCCAAATCAGTGCTGTGGGCTTCCAGCGACCGGACGGCAGTGTGGCGTTGATCATCTACAATGGGTAAGTGCACTCGAGGAAAAGATTCAGATTTGCAGTTTTTTTTTCAAATTTCCGTTCGAAATTTGGCCAAAACACTCAAAATAATGGTTCAAAAGTGGTGTGTCATACCTTGTTAGACTCGAAATTACATTTCCAATCGATTGGCATTCAAATTTGAAAAAAAAATTTTTTTTAATTTTTTGCAAAATTTTGTGATGTTACCCCTTACAAAAAATGAGAAAATTGGGCCAAAATAAATTTTTTTTAACTTCACCAAAAAGCGATGGGAATTGTTAGCATTGGTTATTAGCTGCAAAAATCGGTTATTATTTTTACTGTCGGACTATTTTTAGCCAAGTTATGATGGAAAAACACTTCGTAAATACTCAATTTTAGCCAAACTCGTTTTTCTGGTTTTTCGCCCAAAAGCAATGCGACTTTTGACCAAAACATAAATTATATTGATCCATATATATTGACATACCTCCTATCGGAATTTTAAATTATAAATCTGAAAAAACTTTTTTTTTAAATGGTTCAAGAAAGTATAGAGAAGTAACATACTTGTAACATACCAAATGATTTTTCTAAGTGCTTGGCGCACATCTATTTCGAGTTGCATCTGCGATGGTGCCGCTTAAGTGCGTCAACTTAATTGCCGCCAGCATTGCAATTCACTTTTATGAATGCCTCTAATGGCCGCCCCGCACTCTGCGACTTTTATCAAAAATATATTCTAAGATCCCGAATCCGTAATCTTGCAGCCAAAACCAGCCGGTGGACGTGGCCCTCGATGATAGCCAGCGTGGAGCGATCAATCTCCGCCTGCCGCCGCGCTCCTGGCACACGGTGCTCTACAAATGAGGTTCCCCTTCCGGGAACCCGACTAGATACTAGGACAGGAGTGGGGGTGGGTCCAGCTGCCGCTGCCCAGAGGACCAATTGAGGCTCAAGTGACGGCGGCGCAGCGGAAGCCAATAAATTGCGCTGAACAGGATGAGCAGGATAATGGACGCAGGACGCAAGGAGCTGGGGACTCGAATGCCAGGATGTAATGCCTGGTATGCGTAGACAACGGAAATTTGTTTAAGCTGCTCAATTTGCCGGAACGTGTCTGTTTACAATGAAATTTCATTTGCCGTTTAATTTTCGTTTCTTTTTTTTGGTGTATGGGGATCGTACTGGGACGTTCCATGTATAGAGAAGATGGTATATGGGAACATATAGGAACATAGCGCGGATCAAGTTGAGTGACAACTGGCAGTCGAGCGGGAACTTATACGGCCAACCGAATATTATCTTTAGGCTAGCGCTGCGGTGTCTGGTCTATTTGTTCAATATGCTCTATAAATATGATTGTCAATTGAGCGGCAAGCAAATGCATTTTCCCACTTTCCCGCATTTTCCGCGCTCTCTCCCTCGCACTTGGCGCACAAAATGGGGCGTTTTATGTAAGTCTATAAATTAAAACATGAAACGCTTATAAGCCCATATGACTGTTGCTTGTGGCAGCAATGACCTTTCATTTTGTTTTGATAAAATGTTTTAAAGAACATAAACTTTGCAATTGACTATCTGCTTTTTTTATTTGAGAGCTATGAAACTTTGTTATTTTTATAAATCTTAGTGCACAATGTTCTATAAATAAAATGTATTATAAGCAAATAGTAACTTTGTTATTTTTATAAATCTTAGTGCACAATGTTCTATAAATAAAATGTATTATAAGCAAATAGTAATCACACATAAACATAAACATAGTGATGAAGACGTCTAAGCGCCTATTCATGGACTAAATATTTATGTAGAAACATATTAAAATAGGTCTATACTTCATCACAGCTCTTAAGTGCAAATGCCACTCTGCAGACGAATTGAGACGTCATCATGAAGACCATATCATACCCTTTTGTGTCAAGACTCTCAGCGATTCCTTGAGGCATCCATCACTTGCGTCAAGTGCAGCATATGCGTTCCGAGGGTTTGGTAGCATATCTGAAGTGCTTACAACAAAATACACTTATCAGCACTGAGTGTGTCCATTACATGCCCCCATCCACGCCCTCACCCTCACCCTTTCTGCCCCAGGAAAGTAGTTGCAACATTGGGCAATGTGTCGGGTGCAATGATGCAGTGCAGCGGGCTGTTAATGAGGCTCATTATTAATATGGCAACGATATGTTTGCGTCATGAGCAATGAGCTGGCTGCAAAGGGAACTTACACGCGCGGCCCTGTCATCAGGAAGATCAAAGCACAGCCTCCACTGGAAGTGCTCACTCCAGGTCCCATACCCATGGCCGTAATGTGTTATGAGTTATTGGCGGAGTGGGAAGATGATCCGCTTCCTGGGAGCCCGGATCGCCAGTTCTTCGGTTCTCCGGCTTGTCAGCAGCTGACAGCGCCATGTCACAGCAATTTGCCCGGCCGTAGGTGTTCCATGTCAACTGCAGCAGCACATCGCCACCTAGCCGGGATGTCGGTGTGTAATGCCCTCTGACAGGCACTCAAATTGAATGCTCACAGCGAACTGGATGCCATTTAGCGTTAGATTTATTTCGGGCATTAAGCGCGGATCGCATTTCAAAAGAGAGTACTCGTACACTGGCCAAAATGGGGACAAGCCGATAAGACAAGCCATGCCATAATAAGATACACTTTGTTCCCAGTGCATCTGCATCCACTTCCAAAATGTGCACGAGTAGGGCACTTAAGAGATCTCTTCAGACAGGCGCCGGATGTGCGCTATTTCTCCCATCCACTGCCAAACATACTTGTATCCGAATTCCACTTTCCGAGCTGGAAAAAGTGCAAGTTACAAATGCGTGTGGATAAGCATAGCGCCGTGCAGCGGTCGTACTTTCCCAATCCGATTCGCCTACGCGATAAGATTAGATTAGGGGCCACCCACCCACAGATGGGGAGCATGGATAGGCAAATTAGATGGGCCAAATGCCGTCAAACAGCGCAGAGCCGTTACCAAAATGCGACGTTCGCTCTCGCCGACACTGGCCAAGTTGGCCGAGCAGGAGGTGAACGAGACGCCCGACAGGATTCAGCAGGACATCATCATACTGCGCGTCTGGATTCGCCAGCAGCCGCATCTGCGCGCCCGCACGGATGTGGACTTCCTGATCGCATTCCTGAGGCGCTGCCGTTACAGCTTGGAGGAGACGAAGCGCCGGATCGATCGCTACTTCACCCACTACAACCTATTTCCGGAGATCATGAATAACCGCTGTGTGACGCAAAGACTGCTGGACATCAATCGCATGGGGTGAGCTAGGTTCATGCCATTAAGGTTAGTCATGTATCGGAAGTCCGGGTTTTGCTTGCAGTGTTTGTCTCTATCCGGATATGCCAAAGGGCGACAGTCGCAGTGCCATGTTCATAGCCCGTTTTGGCCAATTCGATCCCAATCTGTACATGCTGCGCGAGATCTATCACTTCTCCTCGATGGCCATGGAGGTGATTGCGCTGGAGAATGACTACGCCTCCCTGGCGGGCATCTGCGAAATCATCGACCTCGAGGGCGTCAACTCGGATAAGATGCGCCGATTTGATAGGGTTCTGTTTCGCAAGTGGTGGAACTGGCTCTACAATTGCAGTCCGCTCAAAGTGAAGGAGATGTACATCATAAACATGCCCAAGGATATTCAGGGTACCGTCATGTTCCTGTACAACGTACTCAGCATGCAAGTCAACTATCCGGTGGGTACTAGTACCTTCAGCGGCATGTCATCTAAGAACATTACTTTCATAGAGTAACCCCTAAGATAGATGTGTTCACTCATTGCAGATACGCGTTCTGAGGAACAGCGAAGAGCTCATCGAGCACATTGGCAAGGAATCGCTGCCGGAGGAGTATGGCGGCACCAACGGGCATTTGGGTGAATGTGTGGCCTACATGGAGGACCTGTTGAATAGCTATCGCGGTTATTTCGAGCAGGACTGCAACTACGGCACCATTGAGGAGCTGCGACACGGTGAAATAGCCACGTACGAGGCGGAATTCGGAGCCAGTGGCTCCTTCCGCCGCCTCAACTGGGATTGATACTAGCTCCGGAAGCAGGAAACCTAGCAACTGCCTCAATCGCGTTTATCCATAGAAAGCATTCCAAACTCTGCTGTAGTCGATCAATTAAAGATAACTTCCACCTATCACCTATCTATGCGCTCGTGTATCTATATCTAACTGGCTGCCGACGGGTTTCGGGTCGCCGTTCCAGCTGGTTTACAAGGTGTTGCCCAGATTAGATAGTGCCACCACCGCAAATGCCAATACCAGCACGATCCAGGGCAGTGCGTCAGTGATTTTGGCATTCAGTTAGCATTGAACCGAGCGCCGGAATGGCGACCACCCTGAGAACCCTCGACCCAAAGCTGGCGGCGCTGGCCAGGAGCGAGTGCAACGAGGAGCAGGCCCAGCGATCGGCGATTATAGCCACCCTTCAGACATGGATCACCAAGTCGCCGCACCTCAAGGCGCCCACGGATGAGCAGCTCGTCCTGGCCTTCCTGCGGCGTTGCCGTTTCAGCCAGGAGGAGACCAAACGGCGGTTCGACAACTACTACTCCTTGCGCAACGTGTTCCCGGAGGTTCTGGGCTCACGCCAGGTGGACGAGGCCCTGCTCACCCAGCTGCAAAGAGGGTTAGTTAAGTTAGTTAGCCATATTTGGTAGCTACCCTTTTCTGAGCCACGCATTCCACGGGCCATTTAAATGCGCCCTTCTAATCAGTGGTGTCAAACGTAACAAATGGTATTGAACTTTATCTACAATAATTTATTCACTATCTATGTACATTACTGGCTGAAAATTAGTTGCGTGTTATGAAATGTTACTACTTCAAAGAACTGCGACTGACGTTACTTGCAATTCCTATTTCGGGAAGACAAAAGATACACTAGTGGATTTGTATTTTCTAATTACAGAATCCATGTGATACCCATGCGACCTGTGAGTCCCGAGGGCCCAAGGGTTATCATCTCGCAATTCCGAAACATCGATCCCAAGAAGTCGAATCCCCGCGAGGCCTTCAAACTGGTCTTCATCATGCTGGAACTACTGGCTCTGGAGTGCGACAATGCCTCCATTTCCGGGCTCGTGTGGGTTGTGGATGCCAGAGATGTTACCATGGAGCAGATGATGCAATACGATCCCTTCCTGCTGAAGAAGGCCTTTGCGCTGGTGGACCAATGCATACCACTGCGATTTGTGGAGATTCATATGATCAACATGCGCAAGGAGGGACAAACCATTTTCAATTTTGTGACCAAGTTTTTACCCTCCAAGCTGCCTTTCAAGGTGGGTCATTCACAAATGTTTATAGTACTTTGTCTTAACCTGGCTGATTTTCAAACCAGTTCGTGGTCCACAAAAAGTCGGAGGATCTGTACCAGCATCTGCCCAGAGATGCGATGACCATCGAGTATGGGGGCACCAATGGATATCACGCAGAGGCAGTCGATCACTGGCGCCAGAAGCTGCTGGACAGCAAGGATTACCTGGCCAAGGACGCCCAGTACGGCACCAATGAGAAACTGCGCATCGGATTGGCCAGTGCCTGGGCCAGTGGAGAGCTGGACGGGATGAGCGGTTCCTTCCGCAAGCTGGAGCTGGACTAAGTGTAAACAGACTCTGTTCTTTGAATTACCATTTAATTAAGTGCTAATGCTATACAACTAATTTAGGGCCTATTCGGGTCACTGGGTATCTCGTGTATCCTCTTAAAAATAGCTTTACAATTGCCTAAGGTGCTGATACTTAAAGCTAAGTGCTGCATTTCCGCTTGAAGTTCACGTGCAGAGAGCTGGGTGCACTTGCTCCGGGTGTGGGCGGCGACTGGGAATCTGCAGCTGAGGGCGTGGCCTTGTTGTGAATGGGACTCGTGGTGCTCTTGTTGATGCTCTGAACAATCAAGTTCAGACAGTCCAAACTGGAGCCATTTGCATTGCCCTCAAAGTCTATACAAATATAATTTATATAAATATTTAAAATATGTTATCACTTTTTTTGTACCTGTAAACTGGCCATATTTCTCCATGTGCTTGTTGTAAAAACTAAGTTTATCTTCTAGATAAGCGCCAGCATAAGAGCTCTGCAAGGAAAAAGATACAGAAATTGAAATGGAAAAATCTTTTAGTTGGCCCCGAGCGAAATTGGGAAAACAATAAATTACAGAAAAGTGTCGTCGGGGAAATGACAACGTCAACTTGGCCAACAAGTGCCATACAGAATGCAGTCTAATGATGGGATTAAGCCAAAATTTATGCCAGTAAAGCGGCTCCACAGGCCAATTAAAATGCATTGAACCACCGCGCTCTGGTTGTAGTGGTGCCACTGCCCCATTGTCTGCCCCAACATTGTGGGGCATTGTGTGCACCACACTGCGGCACACTGGGCAATTAAATTCATTTTCGCATACGCAGACGACAAGGCATCCGGAGATTCGCTCGGGATTTCATTAGAAAAACTGCTCGCTATAACGCCGATGCTAAGCAAATTATAATTGCCACTTCTGGGTGGGTTTTCCTTGGGTTTCCCCGCCCCCCAGTCCGCGTCTGGTGCATCCAGAGTGCCGTCACATCGTCTGCAAGGATCGGCAAATACAGGGCATCCCATGGCGTATTTGTGTATTTTTATACACATTTTTAGCGGGAAACAAAGTACGCAGTAGCAGAACAACAGCACAGAACTCAAACTAAACTGAACGGGAGCAGATGAACTCACACTGCACTTTTATAAAGCGATTTATCATTTTTCAAGCGTTTAGTGACAGCCTGCGCTCAATATGCCACAGGCAGCAAGCGGATGCACTGGGAAAAATGACACGACAACAGCACATCTAGGTTAACAGCAGTAAAGGCTTCGAATGACACGATAGTGCTAAATATTGAATAATTACTTGGAAAATAAATTAGCAATTTAAAAACCATTTCTAAAAAGTATTTCTAGACAACTTTTTCTAGCGCAGCTTTTTGCTGTGTACTGTCTTGCATGTCTGTATGGTATTTCGGTGTATTCTATATTTTTGAGCATATATCATGCGTTGTATCTGAATGAAATGCCACTTATCCCTTGGGCATTCCGAGTCTGGGGTTGCGTAAAGATTTTAAGCCGCCTTTTGGCGCGTTCCCCTTAGAAGTTCTCCACCGATCTGTGCGCATGTAACGGATATGCGGCATTATGCGATTTGCTAGCCGCAAGCTGCAAGAGTTTGTGGCGTGAAATATGCTTTTAATATGCTTAGCCCAGTTTGAAAATATCGCCACTTCCGACATCGCTAAAATAAATGCTACTTGTTAGATATCTACATTGGTAGAGATTCACTTGAGGCAGTAATGTTGATGATTAATTTGAAAATAATTTTATTTTATCTTGTTTGGACTGTTCTTCCAAGAAACGGTGACAAAAATACGTTCTTCACAAAATTACGTTCTCTCAATAATTTACAAAATCATTACTAATTGTTTTCAATTCACATAAAATATTTGGTCATCTAAAAGTGTAGCTTTAAAGCAATTTAAAGATAACAAAAGTGTTCAGTAGCATATATGTATATAGCTGATAATAGTTTTTAACTGAAGGGTAGGGAATCCGATCAATCCTGACTCACTATCAGCGAACATTATACAATGGAAACCACATCTTGCACCCAAAAGGCTATATCTCAACACCTCGATTATGGCTATCATTATTGCGTAGACATTTGACTGATAGACGAACTGTGTATATCGCAAGTAGAACCATTTATTGGCGACTTATTGAGATAAGAAAACTTATGGGAAAACTGGGGTGCACATTTCGTGTTGGAAGCAGTTCAAAAGGAAATCTTCTACTTAAGACGCCGGGGTTTAAAAATACACGGGCTCCAAATGAATGGATATGGATGAGATGGATGGATTGCCAGGGTCTGAGATGCATTTGAATGTCTGCACGTTTGGCGCACTGCCAGTTTTTAATCAAACTATGGCCGCACATTAATATCTGCCAATGGGGTGGTGGGGCAGGGTGGCCGGGTGGCAGTCAACATACAAATACGCTAAGTTTTATGCTAAATTAACAAATTTGTACATTAAAAATGCGCAGAACTTAAGCAAACTGCATGGAAATTACTCAACGCAGGCCAGCCCGAAAAAAAGAGGGCGTTGAAGATGATGGCAAAAATGTTTGCATAATTGTTGACAATTTGTTGCCCTGTCATTGGGGAGTAGGTATGCATGTACAACCCGCTCCCGTTGCCCCACTTTTCGCGTGCCCCCACCAGCACCAGCCAGGCCATATCTTGCAACACCTTTCGAAGAAGAACATCCCGAGATCTTGTCATGTTTTTCCTGTGCAATTTGTCAACTGCCACATCGGTTTTTGTTCCACGTCGCAGGGAAACTATTATGAAACAGAGAAGCAGAGAAAATTCCTGCTCGATGGCTGCTCCAATGAATTTGTTGAAATTAATTTACAACACGATTTCCATTCGAGCTTATAAAAAGAAAATTTATTTATTGCCTTTCACTAAATGCAGACAACGACCCTTTCCCTGCCACCCTAAATTCTCCGGCTATTTGTCTTCTGCCTTCTGTTTTTTTCACGTCTTTGTTATGGAAGTTTGGGGCCTGCTGCTCCACCTACAACTAGGCAAACTTTCTCGATCATAACTCATAATATGCAATGTGATTCACAGGAGAGGTTGGCTTGCCGGCGGAGCCCGTATTATTAAATGGAACGTCAGCGAACGCATAAATTCCGGTCAGCAGATACAACAGATTCGGGTTGGGATGGGATGACTACTTCGGGGATCCGAGAACGTAAACGTATATTCATGTTTTTCATGTTCGCCATTGCGACGGACCAGACCCTGAGATTTTGATGAATGTGCGTGTCGCCAAAGAAAAATGTACGAACGCGTTGCTCATGCATGAGAATTTTACGAGATAATAATTGCGGAACGATAACCATCCGATATACTGGGCTTATATTAATTGGCGTTCAGCGGAAAACTTACCAGATAATCGGACTGGCAGCTTTTGCCGCTTAGACTGGGCGCCAGGTTGTCGCCATCGCGTGTGGGATTGGATTCCTGGGATTTTGATAAAGTACGAAACGATTTAGCAATGGTCTGCTAGTCCAAGTTAGATATGACCACACTACCTGTAGCAGATCCTCCAGGCTCTCGATGTACTCGATGGCATTGCGCAGTATCTCGACCTTCGGCAGGCGCTGGTTGGGATTGGATGATGTGCGTCGCTTGAGGATCTCGAAGGCCTCGTTAACCTAGAATGTGAACAGCACAATAATAATCAATTAATGGCCATCGCTGAAATCATGGAAAACCATTAGGCGCGCCATAAAAATACACACAACACCAGGCGTGTTCCCCTTTAAGTGGCTCTTTAATAAAACATATTTTAAGTTAAATAGAGCATTAAATTTTCAACAATTAAACCGTTCGCCCGTCGTCTGTCTCTTTATGACAGCTACCACCCCCCACCATTCCCGGAAAATTCCCCCCACTGGGCTCCCCCGATCTCCGACTTTCACTAATGTCTCTATGTGGAGCTATAAATACGTGTGGTTCAGCCAAAACTTTTACGACCGTCGAACTCATAAATGCCGCTGTTTAACTCTTGGTCTTGGCAAATGTTTGTGTTTTACGCATGTTGGGTGGTTTCCCTTTCTGCGCTTCATGTCAATGGATCCTCCCTGGTGGCGATGTGTTAATTTGTGGAGTGCCAGTCCAACCTAATGACATTACTACAAAGTTGCACTCCTCGAGGGGAATCGCAGGGGAATCGCAACTGTGCTGTGATCTATTTTTAAGATCGCCCGAGGATTAACATTAAATATGTGAGAGAGGGTACAGAGATGTCCTAATATCCCAGCTCTATCCTAAGCAGTTTAGTGTTCCTCAATTATCCTTATAAGTTCTTAGGAAAGCATTTTTACTTATTACTTATTTTTCACACCACATAACATGTGTTTTGTATTTAAAGAATATTTTTAAATTATTCGTTTCAAAGGAGTCTGTGTTTTGCTATAGGGATCTGCTGCAGCACTTGTATCTAATTGATGCCCACCTTCCGCAGTCTCCGGCGCTCCCGCATGGTGGCCGCTTTCCGGCGGTCCACGGTGACGCTCTTCTTTTTGCACGCCTTGCATGCCCACGTGAGGCATGGCCTGGAGGATTGGGCGGAGGAGCAGACGAGGGGCGCCAGGACGTGCTCCTCGGAGCTGAGACTGCTGTTCTCGTCATCGTAGTCGGTGGTGTAGATGGGCGACGGCGTCATATTCATGCCCAGCGGCTTGTCCAGCTCTGCCGGATGACTTGCCTGGCCGTAGTTGCACGAGGTACCCGATCCGGTGGCTGAGATCGCAGTGGCGCCACCATTTCCCGCAGTCGACGCATCGCCGACGGCATTGAAGCGGCTGAAGAAATTCTGGAGGGTCTGGTGTGGATTCTGGCCGGGATGGGCTATCTGATTCTGTTGGCCATAGGCGCTGTATCCGTATCCAGGATGTGGCTGCTGACCATAGCCATTGTTGTACTCCTGCTTGATGGTGTGAGCCGCTGGCATTGCACTACTGCCACTATTGTATTTGGTCATGGTTGGGTCACTTCACTTCGATTTTATTATAATTTACAAAACAATTTTGCTCGTTCAACAAGTTGCAGGTTTTACTTGGTTGTAAATATTTCGATTTTTCAGCTATTTTCAGTCATTTGTTTATTACACTATCTCAACGTTGTCTTAGCTCTTTTTAAGGTATATTACTAGAACTATTAGCACTTTGTTAGGGCCTATTTTTTGTGTTTAAGTTGAAGTTGAGTTGAAGTTTGATAACACACAAGTTTTAAGCGATAATTATAAGTTTCCTGTTCCTTAAATGGGAGTAACTGTTAACCATTTTTGGCATTACACTTTGTTGATAATTTTGAAATATATTTAGCGCGATTTGCGAGCCGTACGCGATATTATGTACCGCCCTCCGTGGCAATCGCAACACATTTGGTGACAATACCCAAGAAGACAAGATCGGGGCCCCCAGATGTGCTCGCGATCCTCTCGGTGTGCGGATGCTGCTGCGTTTTGAGTGGCTGAGTGGCTGAGTGGCTCTCGAGTGGTTCCTATTTTTAGGGGCGCCACGCCATTAGACGACATTGGCGGTTCTCGAAGGCAGAAGGACGCTGCCGCAGGCCACGCCCACCCCCATTGACTTTGGTGAGTTTTCTAACACGATTTTCCGCTCAATGTGAAGCGTGTTTGTGAAAGGCTTAGTTCGCATGGAGGGAAATCAAATAAATTCCATTTTACCTGGCCAGCGATTAGTGGACGGGGGCATAAATTAGCTTTCGGTGAGCTGAGCAATTCGTTAATGTGACACTTTTAGTGGAAAATCCGCCCCAGCCACACAGATCTCTTCAATGGCAGCCACTTTTCCATTGAGTTATAGTTGCAACGGCCGAGAAAAAACCGAGAAATTGAGCAAAAAGAAAAATAAATAAAATAGAAGCGGCCGAAATAGAAATAGTCAAAGAATTGTGTTTATTTATCGCCGCTCAGGCACAATATATATCTTTGGAAATCACCTTTAAATCTTCCCCAGCGATATTGTAAATCTTTTGTCTTAGGACCGTGGTTTGCTCGAGCACTTTCCATGCTCATTTTTCCACATTTCCCTCCCCATCTTTCCATTTTGTATCTTCTCCTCGCTTTTGCCACTTTGCCGCACTTTGATGGATGCTTTGTTTTGATTCGGTCTGATGGTATTTTGGTGGCAGAGCCTATTTGTTGTGCCACACGATAAGCCCAATTGTAAATTTAATCATTATCGCCTGTCTTTTTCGGCCTACTGGGCTACAAACAGGGTAAACTGGGTAAATTCTCAACTTAATCAACCAGTCAAAATCAGTGTGTGAATTCAATTTATTTATTTGTGTTATTTTAGCTAAAGAGCAGTTACATAAATAAATAAGTTAACTAATGATCATAATGATCAAATGATCCAGATCCAGATCCAGATCCAAATGAAATACATTCACTTAAATACAATGCAAGCTAGCGAAATACATTTACATAACAATAGCTTGATTGTTCTATAAAACGAAACCTTTGTGTGCTTCGAGGTTCCGCATGCAGAACTTTAGGGCTCCAACTTTGCTTTTATCCATTTGAAGAACGTACCAGTGACTGTGTAGAAAGTTCCAGTGTCCCCATCACATTTATATCCATATGATATGATACCTGCCACATACATGGATTTCTCGCCGCCATGATGAAGGCTTACCATCATGGGACCTCCGGAATCGCCATCACAGGCGTTATCTCCATACCGGCTACCCGCGCAGATTTGTGTTTCCGGGCGGTAGAACGATGTATCCTTGCAGTATTTTAAGCCTTCAAAAACGGTGGCGTACCTCAATACCGAACTATTTGCTTCAACTTCCGTTTGGCCCCAACCGGCTATTAACAAGGGCATATTACGTAAGTTGATGGGGTCCTTCAGCAAACAAATCGGTTGAATTTCTTTTGTATACCTAGGGAAGTATATAACCCTTAGTTGATAATGGGCGAATAAGGATGCCTAAGAAGGGAATACCCACCGAACTGGCACTTTGAGGCGCACCAGGGCGATGTCGCTCTCGAATCTCGATGTGTTAGCGTATGCTTCATGGACTTTAAAGTACTCCACATCGATCTCCACATAGGGGGCAGAGCAGGGTGGGCCATGGTCGCAGTCCGGATTCTTGTGGGTGTCATGCTCGCCCAGCCGCACTCTCCTTAGCACCAAGCCCTGACTTATAGATTCACCTCTGGTCACACAGTGGGCAGCGGTCAGCACGTAGCGTGTGTTGATCAGCGAGCCGGCACATTTGGACACGCTATTCGCGTATGGGCCTTTGCGTTTGCGTTTCTCGTAGATAAGCATGGCCATCCAAGGATACGCATTGGGCCTAACCACTCGGTCAAATTTATTTTCGAAGGGCGATGGTACTGGTCCACAGGACGATGGCAGAACGTTACCTGGCTCCAGGCAACAGGTGTAGAAGCGCTTCTCCAAACGTGTCTCGCTGGTATCGATGTTACACCATCTGTTGTCGGGTGAATGGGGCTTCGAATTTGGCAATGAAAGTTTAACATTCTTGTGGCACTTAATCCATGGGATACATCTTTGATTGGGATGGCAAACTGAAACTACTGTTTGGTAGTACTGTTTGGTGGTACTGTTTGTACCCTGCTTTGGACAGCAGTAAGAATTTTCGGCACATTGCCTTCTCATCAATCTTTTGTTGGCCATTTCATATCTCGGGGGTTTCTTGATGAGCTCCAAAGTAGGGCAGCTTCCGATGCGTGCACATATCTCATTGGATTCGCATTCAGCAAACTCTGTAGGGGATTCAAATTAGTGTACGGTAGAACGGATACTATCCGAAAATGATTACCTTCTCTTTCACAGTATACATAGACTCTTTTGCGAAGGTATTCTTCCAGAAAATCGATGCGACATATGCGGTTTATTGATGATTTCAGAATATCTATCGTCATCTTTTGGCCACTCAGCTGAAGACACTTATCGAGACTGATGCATTGCTTGTAGAATTCTTGATGGCCTGACAAAGTTCAAAATTAGAAACGAAGGCGTAGGCCGCTGATTTGGCAGCACTTTACCTCTATTTGGGCAGCAGTATTTTGCATTACCACATTGTCTGTCCTGTAATATTTCTTGCTTGTAGTTGGACGTTCTCATTTCCTCCGATTCCAGAAAGTACATCAAGGGTTCGCAATTTACAAGGTTTGTGCAGTGCTCACCAACGCCACAGTCGGGAAATTTTTTGGAAATCCCTGAAATCAGAAATATAAATATAAAAAAGGTTCGCAGATTGTTTGGTTATAATTTCATGGAACGCACTTTGCGGACCATACACGTTAATGGGCCTTAAAACTGATAATGATTGACTAACAAACAAAACATTTCATATACAGGGTGCGTTATGAAAGTAATGGTTTCATTGTCACGTAACTACCTGTCGTAGCACGCTCGGACCTGTCTGAAAATTTGGGGCGGAGTCTCTCCTTTCCAACGCGCTCGGTCTCAGTTCGCTCTGAGCAATAGAAGTGGTAGGACGTGTCATAGAGCGAAATCATTTTTTCTGTTGTGTCACGGTGCGATGGAGCGTTCGCTGGAACAGCGGTACGCCATAAAGTTTTGCTACGACAGGTAGTTTCGTGACAATGAAACCATGCGCATTACTTTTATAACGCACCCTGTAAACACAATAATTACTTACCATATCCCAACGACACTGACAGTAGAAGTCCATATGTGAGGAAACCAAAAGATACTTTCAGCATGTTTACTCAGCTTAAGCTTAAGCTTCGGGCAATATTAAAATTATTTCAAATACCTCACAGAATAATAATACTGAATTGTACGGAGTAGCTAAATTGTAGTGATAATTGTAAATTGTAATTAATTGTAGAAGCAAACCGAAGCTTGCAGCTAAAGCGTCTGCTGGCGCCCACTGCCTAAACTCAACTAAGTCGGATATGCTTGCTGAGAAAATACACTTAAGTTTTTGAGAGCATATGATTAATTTTCGAATCGAAATTGAATTGAATACCCCATACCCGCCACTCCGATTTTAGATTTAAGCATTTATTCCCTAAAAAGCCGACTACCCATGAAGTAATTACATATATGGCTTTTGTTATTCCATTTTTAATCCAAAAATATCCAATTTTTTACGCGGCGTATGCGTATTAATAATACATATTTAAGAGCCCACACATAGGGGGCGTGTTTCCAGTCGTATAGAAGGCATTGGCAACAGATGGCGCCTTTATTCAACGTCACAATTATTTTCAACATATCTGGCAGCGCTATTCTGTTGAATTAAAATTTTATTAATGTAGCTGTTATACCTACGAACCGTTAAGACTATATTTATACACATATTTATTAAAACAATAAATAAACAACAAATTTATATAAACAATAAATTTAAGTTACATCAGCTCACTTTAAAGTCATGGTTGTTGGCATTTACGTTTGCAAATTTGTTTGTTTGGTACAAGTGCTATGTATGAAAAAACTCCGCACTAGCTTTCAACTGACGCAATTTCGCCGAAATTTAGTGCATGCGCTTATCAGTCGTTCGTGTGTTTATTTTTATCAAGGTAATATCTGAGCGGAGGTTGTTATTTTGCTTGACATTCGAACTGCGGCACATCACTTCCCAATTAGAGCAATTAAGATCGAAGCTCTCCAATTGCACCTGTTGTTCAGTTTGCCTGTTGCCAGTTGGCAATTGAGGTTGTTGCTTTTGCATTTCGTGCTTTCCATTCATAAAATCGAGCTGCATGCGGCAACAGTGCGTATGAGTTACGTCAGCCATCGGATGTTTGCGAGTTTTTGGAGCATTCGCGATTGAGAGTGGAGAGTGGAGATGCGTAACTACACTTCTCTTCTCTGCGCGTTGAGAGCGCTCTCTGGGTAAAATGTGTAGAGCCAGAGAGTGGGAGAGAGAGTGGGGCAGCATCAAGGAGCTTGAATATCAAAAGTACACGGTAAAACAAAAATGGGAACTTCTGTTTAGTTTGATTATCCAAAATTAACTATTTAATTTATAATTAATTTAATAATTCTGTATGTTCGCCTTATATTTTTGTTACATTAAATTAAAAACGATATCGTTCCAGGAAGCAATTACGTTCATTTTCATTGGTAAATCTATAAAAATACTACTTTTATATATGAATATGATAAAAAGGCAACATTTTCCTGAGTGTCATTTGATGCATTTCAATGTCCCTTGTATTTCTTCAAAACTTGTATTAAATATCTGATACACATATGTATTTTTGCCGGGACTGGTTTGTAATGAAATCCGTCATTATTTTACCGTTTATGCTCGCTCAGCGAAATTCGCTGAAGAAGAGTTTGCCCAGGGGAATGGAGTGGAGGGGGGAGAGAGAAGGGGGAGCTTGGAGCATTATTTGAGAGCGAAAAACGGCGCAATTCTCGCATTTACATTGAATCCGTCGGTGGAGACGGTCGCACTGCACCATCAGTCAGCGCGAAAGAGATACCGCGACAGTGTGAAAGCGGGAAGGCGTGACTGCTATTGTTTTTGTTTATATTACAAGGCGCGCGACGAGTGCGAAATGCTAGTGCTGTCGCTGCCACGCTGAATGGCGCAACGGAATGAAAAAAGCTGATAAAACCCGAAAACAAATCGAGTAAACAAAAGCGGGGTGCAGTGCAAAAACCGAACGGAAACTGATAAGCATAAATTTAATAAACGCTCGTAAACGCTACCGTCGCACCTGTAAATGGACAGGTGGGTAATTGTGCATCAAATTGTTGCAATTGGAGAGATCGGTTGTACTTACATGCGTACATATGTATGTATGTACATAGTTGCTATATTGGCTCATAAGTGTGTCAGTGTGCCAAGTTGAGAGCTTTCAGTGTCAACACGTGCATATGCTGTCTCCATCGCTCCTATTTACCTTGCTGTTTACTTACAACACTTTGTTGCTGTAATCACTCTGCCTTGTCTGTGTGTGTGTGAGTGTGTTGGTGTTATAATTCAATCTGTTCTCTCCCACTCACACTCTCCTGCGCTCTCTCATTTAATTCAAAACGTATTTGAATTTATTTTCTTCTGTGCTGACTTTCCTTGTATTTATATTAAATAGCTTAGTTTATTGCCCAGTCACTGTGCACGCAACCCGTTGATGCAAGTCTCAAGAGCCTGCAAATGCTGAAAGTGCATTAGGATACACTGAAACAAGTGAATTTGCTGTATACATAAGATATGATATTAAAGTAATACATTCCGATTTTCTCCGATAATACAAATTTAATGCATTTCACATATAAGTATATTTACTTGTTTTGATAATTAAAACTGCTAATTGGCCGTATTCATTAGGTGTTCAGCATCTTTATTACAACAACATGACATGCCCATAATGTGGTTTTAATTGGCGAATATTCGCAAACCCTATCAGAAATTTACTCGGAGTCTCAATTTCTGGCACGTGCCTTTGGCACCCGCAATTCAAAATATTCTTCCATATTTAGATTGCATTATTCAATCCGGAATTGTTTAAATTTTCCGCCTGCCCTTGCCGACAGTTTTGGTATAAATTTTGTGCGACGTAAATCCATTTAAGTAAATATCTATGTGTTTTCATAGGCCTTTAAAAGTCTATGTGAGCTTACAAATTCCTTCATGGCAATAAACAAAAATCAAACAAAACCAAAAGTGAGAAAAAAAAGGAAAAAGGTGCAAAAGTTGCTGGTGTCTAGCAAATATTTATTAAATCTGGAGATATTTACCATCAAACATTTTCTGCTTCATCTTAGAGCAAACTTCCTGTCAAATGCTGCCTTATGTTGCTAAATATATCTTTAAATGCATGCAGCAAACATCATTAGTGTTGAATATAAGATGTGTGCTTAAAAATAGTCTGTAGTTTCGAATAAACAAGAAAAATCTGCGAATAAGAGAGCCACACGTGTTTTCCTATTCAGCGGATAATACAATGCGCAGAAGAAGGTATTAGGAGGTCGGTTCTAGTCGATTTTTTTGGGTAGCGAAAAAATTAGGCCAAATGTGTTAATTGATATACATACTCGTATGTACAGATGTGTGTGTGAAATAGTTTGCTGGATAGTTGTTTACCTTTAGGCGCTATTGTTCAACCGGACTGTCTGGCAAACTCTCTAAACTGCCGGTCGGCATGTATGTATGTACATCGTTCACACGTCTAATCTTCCCTATCGAGGGGGTACTATACAGTACAGCTCCTTATCAAAAGGCCTTTCGTCTCGGAGACCAAATCGAAATGAACTCTTATCATTTGGGCAAAATTATACGGCGATAGCAACCGCCAACTCGCGATTGTAAATTACACACTCGAGTTTTTTCAGTCTGCTTGGTTGTTTATCAATAAAATGTAGTCTAGGCCCTCGTTGAGTAATTTTGATAATTTTCAGAGCCACGTATAGTGCACAATAAAATAAAATATATTTTTAATTGTTTAATTAGAAGTGCTAAGCCAAGTAGCACGGTTCATTATTTTGTTCTCAAGTGCCGGTATGATTCCAAACCAACGAATTCTATCTGGCTCCAAAATAAATTAGCAATCAGGAGGCTTGTGTGTTTAATTTGATTTTAGAGGGGCACTAGATAATAAATAAAGAGTAGTAAGTAAGTAGTGAATGTATTTAATTAAATGGCTAGGGTTTTCTTATGAGTGGTTATGAGTGGTTATGAGTGGATTGAGAGCAATATGGCATCCAATATACAGATAAGTTTAAGAAAAAAAGTACAAAAAGGGGCATGTTATTGAGTAACATGTTGTTTTATTGAATTAGGACCGACTATTAAGAACTTTAGTTCGCCTAATTCAGTCCATTTAACACCCTGTCCATCTCAATTGTGATTATTCGCCGAGTGATGAAAGCTAAATGAGAGAATCGCCTATGAGATAAGCCATTCCGAAATTTATTCAGCTGCACGTAAATCCCCCCATGCAAAAGTGCTAAGCCCTGATCAAAAACGCCTGGTTTGCCCATCTGGATGGAGTATTCGTGGCTGTGGGTGTGAGTTCGTGTGCTTTGTAGATTTCGACGAATTTCAGTCTGATACACTCGTTTGCCCCCCTAAAAAACGTACACTCGTATGTCATGTACATGTGATATCAATGGGCTTAAGGCGTTTTCGTTCTGTATACATGCATACAAACATACATATGTATGTAGCAAACGGAGCACAGAATTTGGTTTGTTCTGCGCCTGTTACCCGAAGCACAAAAAACACGTTGACTTGCCCATGGAGCCGCTTTTTCTGGGGGCTTCTGCAGAGCAACTACTACTAACAACCCCCCCTCAAACACGACCGATAAAAACTATAGATGGCTGTATAAACAAATTGTTGAGAAAAATTGGCTAACCTTGAACCGTTGGCAAAAAACTTTCACAATGAAAAAAGTTCAGTATCAAGGACCCAGAAATGTGTAGCGAGACGATTTCGGAGCGTTTTTCATTTGGCAAAACGAGCAGTGGCCAACGCTGCGTATACGTAACCAAGTTGTGTGGCAAAGAAAAGTCTCATGTGAACGTGTGTGTGCGTGTGTGTGTGCTTTTGGGGATGTGAAATGTCGTAAGCATCTATGTATGTATGTGTGCGTGGGGAGGGATGTGCGCTTAAGGTTTTTGAACTTGTTTTCGGTAATTTTCCACCATCCAGCCTGTTTTTGGGTCAATTTATTTATGCTAACATACCGAAGCCCGAAGAAGAAGATAAAAAGATTAAAAATACATCGGCAATATAAAAATTCAACAAAAAAGACTGGTATTTAGAAACAGCGTATGAAAACAGAAAGCTCACAACTACTTAGAAATTCGCTCAGCATTTCGGAAAGGCGGCAATCAAAACAAAGTGTGCGAAATATTTAAGTTTATTCATATATGTACCTAATACATATGCATGGGTATAAGTGCTACACGCGAAATAAAATAGCTAAAAATACAAACAAATATGCGCACGAGAGTACATACATATGTACATTGTTACGCTGATATATCGAGCATGCCTCGTTAATGGGAGCCATCACGATACGATGGTATGGCCGCCAGGGCTCTGCACACATAAAAATTACAAATTCAACAATATGAAGAGTATTAGAGATTCAGAAATATTTTAATCAAACATGAATTTATTAAACAGCTATATAAGCCGATTGATTGTGTCAGACTTATACATTTTAGCGATGCAAGCATAAACTGATGCAAGCTAAAAATCAAGTATACGTACCGTCGGCCATTTCAAAATACTCATATGTATTTGGTCATGGGCAGCAGCGTAGTTAGCAAAGCGAAAAGATCGGTCACACATATTTAATATAACACTACCCCGCCTACCTTTCCCCTCTTTGAACTTGCGAAAGTAAAACTTAAACGGAAATGGTATTCAGCATGAAGAACTGTAGATGCTCTTTAGAGAGCAAAGAACTCAAAATGCAGATAGTGTTGAAGCGTATAGCAAAAAGTATTCTATCCATTTTCAAAAGATTAAAACGGCTTTGCATTTAAATATAAATAAAAGCAGATAAAAAGAAATTGCGATAATATCATAAAGGGCCGTTGGTTCTGGACTTAGGACGCGGGGAAATGCTTCAAGCAAATATAAATAAAAAGTTGATCTTTATTCTTCAATAATACAAGCTTCAATAATAAATCAAGTCATAATCTTATCAAAGCGCGTCGCTAGTTGCTGTTGGCTTGCATCTAATCAATGTAATAGTTACTATTGATGATATATCAGCGGACTGTTACTAAGCAGACATGATTTTTTCTTTGAAATCTGGAAAATCAGGGACAACAACAATATCGAGGATCAAAGCAATAAACGTCAGTTTAAGTGATTCCTTTTGCGTCATTTTTTTTGATGCCGTCTCATTGTTTTTTTAGTAAATATTTAGGCGACAAAGATCTTTATGGCCAATGATTGGCAATTTCCAAAATCATTTCTTAATTTGCGGCATTTATATATTTATAATTATTAAATGCTCGAATTTATTGCAGATCCTTCAGTTCAAGGGGTTTTTTTCATCACGCACCGCATTTCCAGCTTCGTCATTATATGATCGGCCATTACTTACCGTTTATAAGGTATATAAATATTTGACTTTATTTAATTGTTGCATTATTTATGGACGTGTTTGGCCAGCAAGTCACCTTTACCTTAATACAACGCCCCAAGATTTAGCCATAATTCTCGATTGATAGTGAAACACTAGACTGAAAGAAAAAGAGAGTGAGTGGTGGCGAGAGGCGATTTAAATACTTGTTCGCCATATTCAAGCCTATAGATAAGTCTTGGGAGCCGTCGTCAGACAGAGCGTCATAAATATTTATTTTACATTTTTTTTATTCTTTTTTTCCTACTTATTGCCGCTCTGTGTCGATCTTCCTCTTCGCGAACGTCGGAGCGTTGAATATGTTTTCGGTTTTCGCGCTGGGCGGTTTAGTTCCCGTTTGCTCGCGGAACTATTTGGTCGTATACGGCGCAAAAACACAAGCCATCTAATTAGTGTATAAATCAAGAGAAAATACAGACAATTTCTACATTTCTACTCACCACAACACCCAGCGCTTGTACAAAGCCACCTACAAGTAAGCCGGGCGATCAAGTTTCAGCATATATTAAAAAATTATTCGGTTATTGGGTTTCGCAACCCTTAGCCGTAAATAGTTAAACATCAAATTTGGAGTTTTATGTAACGCCACACTGCTCTGGTCATCCACAGAATCTCAATTGCATTTGGAGCCACCGCTTGGCGAGCCATGTAAGACTAGGAGACGGAGACCACAGCCACCAGAATGTCCAGATAGCAGCACCAGAATCCCCGTCTCGATCTCAACCAGGCGCAGCAATCAGCAAGCAACGAAAGTCCAGAAAAGTGAAGGCATTCGAATAAGATTTCTGGTTACCAAACATGGCTCACTTCAGCGGTCATCGCCAGCCGGCTCAGGTGCCCGCCCATTTCAAGGATCTCTTCACCAATGGCCAGTTGGGCGCGGCCGAGGAGAGCAACAACAATGACCAGAACGAGCAGGAGAACCGCCCCAGCAACAATAATAATGCTGGACCATCGGATCCCGCCTGCTGGGTCTTCGGCTACGGATCCTTGTGCTGGCATCCCGGCTTCACCTACACCAAGTGCATTACCGGCTATATTAGGGGATATGTTCGCCGATTCTGGCAGGGCAATGTCACCCATCGCGGCTGTGAAGGAAAGGTAGGTGGTATAACCCAAATCCTGGAATTAGACACGTCTGGTCTGCGTCTGTTGACAATTTTCTCGTGTGTGCTTACCCAACAACTAGCAGCGGTGGGTGATCTGGTAATTATTTTATTACCTCCGCTGTTTGTTTTGAACAGTTGCCAGTTTTCCATGTGTGCACCAAAAGTGATCAGGCTCGCGTTATCTGTTCGTCGGGCGTTATCAGTTGTGTTTGGCTAATGGCGAACAACAAGTGAAATTAACATTTGCCAGCGTCTAGAGCGAGTGCCAATTAAGATACAGATTGTGTTTCAATTAACATAAGTGATTTGCTTGCTAATCAAGGCAGGACAGGCCCCTTGGAATAGATATCAATGCGATTTTATAATTTATCTGGAAACCCGTTTCCCCTCCGAATTCGATTTTTATTTTTTTAATATTCAATTTAGTGCTAGCACATGTTACCAGTTGTTGTTCCATTTTTGGTGCCCAATTGAGGTCATGTAATATTTGCAAGCTGTGTCATCTTGTATTCTAAGCATTTCCAAGTACATACATGGAAAAATATAATATAACATGAAATAGTGATACAGGAATGTAAATCCCTTACTCGGCTTTTGCTCTGCGATCGCGACAAATGTCAACAGTTTTGAAATAAGTCAAGGTCCATATATGTACACATATATAACCCCAGTTATATGTGAAATGTCGTAAATAATGCAAATATACAGAAGGTAAACAAAAACGAGCTGGCCCTGCCTTTGTGCAGGCGATAAATACATAGGCTCCACAAACGAACGCCTATAAAATACAACCCAGCGCTAATGAGTACTTTATTCTTTGTTACAGCCTGGACGTGTTGCAACGCTCGTTGAGGACAAAGAGGTGAGTAAAGTATAAAGAACCTTGACTCCGAAGTGGGGGGCATGATATGTGATATAGTGTATGAAAAAAAGGGAGTGCGCCGTCCGAGTTTCCCAATGTAAGCCCCATTCTGTGTAGGCGGTTTCTCAGCCGAGAGAGCGTGAACTCCGCCCGGCGAGTCCTACCAACTCGTCCATATCTAAGATACTCTGGCAGATTTCCGCAGACAACCTGACGCAAAGGATTCGGATAGATCCTCTTCATCCATACGCCAGGCGAAATTCCGCAGAATATAGGCGAATGCAAGAACTCATCAACCTGAGGGATGCACGTTTTACACCTTGATACTTTCTATCCTAGGCCCGGGGACTTTCGCCCAGGGCAATACCAGTGGAGTTACCAGGAACTCGTTTTGTGGCCCCGAGAGACAAGCATGGAAGACTCAAACCGGCATCACTTGCCATGCTATCAGCGGTATTTAAACGCGCTATCTGCGGAAAAACGAGTTGGGAATTATAAGCAGGCGGGTGTGATAAGAATAGCGCGCCCCGATTCGAAATATACGAGTTCAAATCCCGCGCAGGGCGAGGGCGTACAATATTTTTAGATTTATATAAACCATATGTTTTTGTTTATTATATATATATCCCATTTTTTATTGCAGGGCATCACTTGGGGCTGCGCCTATAGAATAACAGGCAGCACGGCACTGGACTATCTCAAGCAGCGCGAGTGCACACTTGGTAAGTAAAGCCATGCGAAAGTGGTCGCATCATTTGAGCTAACCCCTGGCTGACTCCAACAGGTGGCTATGCAACGATTGATACCAAGTTCTTCCCGCGCGTCGCCTCGCAGGACACGCCCTTTAGCGGCGAGGCGGTCGAGGTACTGGTCTATGTGGCCACGCCAGAGAACATCCACTGGCTGGGCGATGATCCGGTGGAGGAGATAGCCCAGCAGATTGTATCCTGCCGCGGTCCCAGCGGACACAACGCCGAGTACCTGCTGCGCCTGGCGTTGTTCATGCACGATGAGATTCCCGGCGTTAGGGACGATCATCTGTTCGAGCTGGAGCGCTTGGTGTTAGAGGAACTGTATCGCCGCCAAATACCTCTGTCGTCTGTGATGGGCCGCAATCCAGATAGGATACGGCGCGACTCGCACGAGGACATCCGCCGCCCGCCATCCTTCGAGTTCACCTCCCGAGTGCCCGATACCAAGCTGCGTTGCCTGAACATTTGATTGTTGGTGTGCTGGCGGCCGAAGACGAAGGACACAGCTGGTGCTATGCTGGCCGCGATTATTGCTACAGCAAATTCCAAATTACTGTTCGACATTTTGGGGTAACCAGAGTCTATTGCCAAATTTGACGTATTTCTTTAAATTGTAAATAATCCTAGGCCTAATCATAAGCAGCAACTCCTCCATAAGTGATCTGATTTAGCCAATAAGCTAGGATTAAGCACAAAACACTTTTTACACACAACTGTCAGGGAGTTAAATTAAAACTGAAATTAATATAATGGTTGGGTTTTTAATTAAATACAAAAGCATTCGCGCAAAATGGGAATATGTGGGGACCGTCAAGATCAAGCGAAACTTAAAAACTAATTGGTGAGAATTTCGGCGGCACGATTCTCCATCAGTTTCTCCATGTTCGTGATTGCGCCCATCCATGTGTCCAAGGTGCTGGCCATGCCGACAATCTGACTACGGTTAAGGACGCGTGGTTGCACCCAAGACATGTTCACCACTCCAGCCACTTGGTCAATCTCGCCGCGGACGAGGTCCAAAGCCAGAGCCTTCATTATAAGCAGTTCCACTTCCTTGGCAGGCAGTTTGGTCTCTTGCGCGATGTCCGTGAAGGTGATGGCCCGCTCGATGGCTGAGCGCTTGAAAGTCATCTCCATGAGGCAGAGGAGGGAGATCTTCTGGCGCAACTTGACCTCCTGTGCAGCCAAATCGGGAATCTTAGACCAGATTTTCTTCATTTCATTAAACCTGTCGAGGAATAGGTAGTGTTAGTTACGTCCGATATTGGATAACTATCATTTACTTGTTAATATCGCCCGTGTTAAAAGCTTTCAGAAGCTCCATAAGCCACTCATTTTCCGTGCCCTTTAGCGACTCCAGGATGGGATGTGCCAGCAATTCGCCTATGTTGTAGACACCATCGCCCAGGAGAGCAGCCAGACCCAAGAAGAAAGCCTGCTGAGCCCACTGATCGCGGGGGTACTCATCCAATGAGCAGCCCAGAAACTGTAGGCCACATCGGTAGTAGTCGCTATGCTTGCCTACTCGCCGATAATACTGGGATGCCAGCATGTAGTATTTGCCGTGGACGGGCGTCACATTGCCCGCTTCCTCCAGGACATCGCGCAGTTCCTCGATGATCTTCTTGGTGGCATTCAGATCGTTCAGGTTGCTGAGGTAGAGATTGCCCTGCATCACCTGCAGATACCAAACGGCCTCATCGCAGATCTTCACCTTGTCCTTCATCTTCTCCAAGAATTCGATGGCCTCCTTCTTATCACCGATGTTGTCCACCACCACCTCGAGAATCTGGATGAGGCCATAGGGGTTTATTCTGCAAATACAATACATGAGATACTGCCGAGTCATCTGATCAAGCCGACTCACTTGGTCTCGAAGGTGGACAGGAAGTTCTGGTAGAGCTGCAGCAGCGCCGATTCGTCCTGCAAGGATTCGTGGCGCACGAAGGTCACCAGTTTGATGGTCAGCTCATTCCAGAGTCTGTAAGATATGGTTATTAACAATGGGAAATTGAAATTTTAGACAAAAATCTAACTTTTCATTGTAGAGCTCCTCGATGAGCGTCCATTCGGCGGCGAGTTCTTTGTTGGTGGTCTTTTTCTGGGTCGCCAGATAAGCGGTGACATTCGGCTGAGAATTGGACATCGCAACTGCGCTGTGTGTTAAATGAATTCCAAATTAAATGTTTAATGTATTCCCAAACTACAAAAATTGCAAATCACAATCGCCGACGAAGCTGTCAAATTGACAGCTCCGCGGTGTGGCCGCTTGCATTTTAACTTATTTTGGTATTTTTTGCAAACTTTTTGTTATATATTAATTTTTAAAAAGGCTATCGTAAAATTAAAAGTACAACCTATACCTAGGTAATATGATATTGTTATATCATTTAGAAAACAATGCGATTAAGATTTTATTTTAGTGCGTAGAAACTACTCGATGACTTATTCGATACCGACAGCGAATAATTATCGATAGCTGCAGGGTTTGGTCTTAAACGCAATCCGCCATCTGGTCATACTTAGAAACAGCTGTTTCTGCGTGAAATTGTGTACGCGGAAGAAACAACAATTCAATTCGTGTTGGAGCTCGCAGCGAAACAGTTTATAATTCCGCACGCCAGGATTCCCCTTGGCAGAGAGTCGCCGCGCAGCCAACTAGCCAGTTAGCCCGATCCGCGAGAATATCGATCTTTAACCGGGCCTCAGCAGCACTGATAACAAACCAAATACAACAAATCGAGTGTGCTTCCTGCAGCCAAAAAAAAAATTAACGAATAATAAACGAAGTTTCCGTGTGTTTTGCACATTTAACAATTTGTTAGTTAAATAAAGTAGAAATCGAGATTCGCGAACGAAAGTGCCGCAATTAGTGGTTATATAAATGTAAGCCAAACAACGCGTCGTGCAAGAAACTATGTGGATTTGTTCGCAGAAACTTGACAAACTGAGAAGAACTAGTTAGCGTCCACAACCTCTCCAACTGGAAACCTCACTCCACCATACAGACCTCATTAGCATTTCCTTTGTGGATTAGGGCGCGTGTCAACCATTTGTCACCGATCTCCAAGCAACCGATCGATTCCTCGTCGAAAAGCAAGGTTAGTTCTGGGTTCTATTTCCGACTTTTTGGGGCTCACTACTCTCCCCGATGAGGTTCCCCCTATTTGGCTTCAAGATTCCAAGCAGCACACACTACCGATTGGCCAGCGATTCCCATTGGATCCGATCGCGTTCCATTGAGAACAACATAGTTGGTTGCACATTGGCTCCCACTATTTGGTTAGTAGACAGTTATGCAATTGGGGCTCCCCAATCTTATCACTCAGTGGGCACCACGTCGCCGTCTAATAAAAGTTCTTGGCCTGCAGTGGGAACACATGTTGGACAACTTTCTCTTTGAAAAGAAAAAGACACTTGAGCACAGGAGCGTTGGGTAGAAAATATAATTAGATTACTTTCAAGCTGATAGAGAATTTGAAACCGAGAGCTTACCCAAAAGTCAGTTCATGTAGAAGATTCAAAATTTGATGGAGAATTTGAAACCGAAAGTTTACCCAAAAATCCGTGGAAGTAGATGATTCAAAATTTTTGATTACTCATATGGACCAATAATACTGCATTTTAGAGACCATGCCTCCATCTTAGGTAACATTACACAGATGTCACATATTTTGCGCATCCTTCCGAGTAAAAAAGGCACTTGAACCAAATCGGCAGGAGTTTAGTGAAACATCCTGCTGCGCTGTCAACATTTTTTCCATTTCCTGACGCCACTGTGCGTTTTTGGTAGTAAGAAAGTGCTACTACTTTCTCGATGGCAGTTGATTTCCTCGGCCTGTTCCCCACTTTACCAATTTACCAAAATCGAAATGGGCGACATCTGGCAGCGACAGAAACGCAGACGCGATACACAACTAAATATATATTTATATATGTATATATGTATTTAGATGTGTATGGTATATATAAAAACCAGCTGAAGGCGTATTACGGTTATGTGAAGAGCGGCAATTTCAAAAATCCAAAACAAATTCCGAAAAAACGCCGTCGAATGACGACTTCATCTTCATCTTCGTCTCCGTTTCCAGTCGACAGACAGCAACAGCATCTGGCTATTAAAAGCAAAAGTGAAACATGCCACACAGTCGCCGCCGATGCACAACAAAATGCGCCACAAAAACAAAAACCAACCAAAAACAAAAATGATGTGGAAAAACATAAACCATAAAACTGCTGCAACAAGTGAAGCAGCTTTGTCAAGTGCATTGCCGCTTCCTTGTTTTTTTGTTATTGTATTTTGCTGCTCAGTTTTTGTTGCTGCGGCAGCCGAGTAGTAATATTATTCAATTACAGGCCAATCCAGTTGCCCGGGCGCCAAGAGTTGCGAAAGAGTTGGGTTTGGCTTGGTTTCTCGTGTGTTCACATTCGATTTTTGTGCCAAGCTCTTGCGCAGACAGCCGAGATCGTAATTATAGCCACTGCACTCTCGTCAAAGTCCATATTCAAATAGATCATCCCACAATGCAGCTCATTCAACAGCTGATTATAATGATATACATGTATAAATAAAATAGCTTAATGCGATCTTTAATTTTTTGTAACTGGCTGCTATGTTGGAGTACCCAGTTACCCAATTCTCCCTCATTGCTGCTATTTTCTTGACCCAAAGTGTAAATTCATTGATACCAATTCAACTTGGGATTCCATTGGCGGCGATTTCATAACTTTTGCTCTCACCGCTGCGCGACTTTGGCTTTGCCCAACTTTGAATTCGTTTTTTAAACAAATTTATTTTCATTTAACGCTGGCCGCGCTTCTTTTTCGATTTTATGGCCTGGCATTTTACTCTCTCGTTTCTTTTCTTTATTTATTTTTTTTTTTTACCAGAAGTATGTGTATATATGTAAGCCAATGTAGTTTGGCCAGCAGCAACAATAGTCAGGCAGCAGCGACGGACCGAAAAAAAGTGGTTTCAGTGCTGGTAACTTTCTCCGCCACCTGCAAAAGCGCGCGCGACTTGCACGCGTTTTAAACCGCACGCATGCGCAGTTTGCTTGGCGGGCCTAAGTATCTGCTGTCTCCCTCGTTCCCACTGCCGGGGTTGGGCTATCTGCACCTCCTGCTCTTCGTGTTGGCCACTGAAATTGGTCATGTGCCGCCTGCGCACGTAAGTCTGTCCGTTCGTCCGCAGATTGCGCGATTAGCTAAACGCGCGCCAAGTCGCATGCAAAACGCGTGCGCGATTTTAGCCTGCAATTTCATCATCATCGTCATCATGGCAAGCATAATTGTTGTTATTTATGGCAAATTGCTATGCCAAATCGCTGAGCGATGAGTAAACACGCAGAAACAGTTTTCTAATGCTTTAACTGAGAAATAAATCAAATTACTTTTAGGTTTTAAGCCAAGAAATAAAAGCAAACAAAAGTAACAAAAATTGTACAAATTTAATATAAATTGCGTAAGATCAGTAAATAGTAGATTTCATATCTAAGGGGTTTTTTTCCCAGTGTAGTCGGCGGGTATTTTAGGTATTTCATATCTCCACCCCCATTGATTTCTGGTATTGAGAGCATGACTTTGGAAATCGTCGCTGCCCCTTTTTCCGATCACCTTCAAGCGCTATTGCAAAGCGAAGCCATCAGCCATCCACATTCACAGCCACAGCCACATTGCATTGATGGCTACACATTTCCGCCGCTTTAGGCCAACTTCCAACGAAGGCCAGATGCGAACCCCTTTGTTGC